TTCTCTCTCTCTCTCTCTCTCTCTCCCCCCCCCCCCCACGCCATTTTCTTTGTCTATCTTATTTTGAATCTTTCAAGCTTCTGGGAGTTTCTTTTCAAAATTTTAGCTTGATTGGGGATTGACATTGTTTACAAAATTTTAGGCACGCTGATATTATTGTTAGGATTTCAGCAACTTGCTATGGGTTGAAAGGTTGATATATAGTTTCAATCTGTGAATGATTTGTGTTGAGTTTCAGCAGTTTTTCAACTCTGATATCACTTGTTGAGAATTGTTGTAGCAATTTTATAAGTATAATGATAGTAAATAAATCAAAGCACAATACACAACAAATTGGAACTACCTCAGTATAGTATTCAATCTTTCTGTTGTTTTCTAAATTTTCTACTGAGAGTTAAAGATTGATCAAGTTGTGGCTGTACTTTTGTGTTGTTGTTTCTCTAGCTTGGGGGTCTACTACTTTTAACATTCATGACTTTTGAAAGGCTTGTGCTTCAGTTTGTGTACTTCCTTTAAAAGCTTTTTAGGCCTTTTCTCAGCTTGGAATTGGATGCCTAATAGTGAACTTCAGAGTTCAGACTTCTCCACTCTCTTTTCACCTCCTCTTCTATTTCTTCTTACACTCTCACTCCCATCTTTTTTTTTTTGGGACGGAAGGAGAGGAGAAGGGGATAAGGTTGGAACCCGCACCCACCTGCTGGTGAGAGTGAGCCCTTATGTCCTTGTGTTTCCTTGTGTCCTTATGGTTGTTTTAGATTTGTATGGGAGCTTGAATTTTGATAATGCAGTTTATATGTGTTTGGTTTTGGAAGCAATCTAGTTTTTGAGTTGTCTCCTTCCCAGCTTCTTTTGTTTTGTTCTCTCTCTCTCTCTCCACTGTAGGGTCTACACTATTCATGATCTCTGAATTAGTGGCTGTCTTGTTTTCTGCTGGTTCCTCTTTAAGGTATTACCTCCTTGGTGTAAACCTTCTCTTTCACTTATCATCTGTTTTTAGCACTTAAATCACTTTTCTCAATCTTTTTCTCAATTTCACTACATTACTTGAATGTGGAAACATTATGCTTAATCTTCATCATAGGTGCAACATTTCTGGTGTGGTTCGGGCCGACAGTTCGCCTCACCGTCGCCGATCCCGACCTTATTCGAGAAATCTTCACTTCAAAGTCTGAATTTTATGAGAAGTATGAGGCTCATCCACTTATCAAACAGCTTGAAGGCGATGGACTTCTAAGCCTCAAAGGTGAAAAATGGGCTCACCACAGAAAAATCATCACCCCTACCTTTCATGTGGAAAATCTAAAAGTAAGTTCATCCCCCAACTCCAAAAAAAAATCTCGTACATTGAGCTACCTTTTTTATTTATTTATAATGTATTTTCAGTTAAAGTTTTTACCTTTTTTTACGGCTATATTTTTTACTGTAATTTTTTTAGTTACTAATGCCGGTGGCTGCACGAAGTGTGATTGAGATGCTGGAGAAATGGTCGGCTATGTCAGATTCCGGCGAGGTAGAAATTGAAGTCTGCGAATGGTTCCAAAATTTGACAGAAGATATTGTTAACCGAACAACCTTTGGCCGCAGTTATGAAGAAGGAAAAGCAATTTTCCGGCTACAAGCTCAACAAATGGTGCTAGCTTCCGAAGCCTTCCAAAAAGTTTTCATCCCTGGTTATAGGTATAATTAAGGTTTTAGTGTTTTTTTTTCAAAAAAAAAAAAAACAATTATAGACTCCCTAAACTATGCTTCTTATGTTATATTTGCCCCCTAAAAACTATATGTTTTCTCACATTGCATCTTAAACAACTGATTTGAGATTCAAATTGCCTTAATCGTTAACTTATGTCCAACTTTTAATAGGAAATCAGTGCAAAAATGAAATTCCATAATTGTAGAAGTTGTGGTCTTAACTACGAGTATCAAAATGTGGTACGATTCGTTAGTGTGATATACAATTAGCAAGTTTGTATATTTCTTAAGCCATTTTTTTTGTAAATAAGGGGACCCGATCCGACACGATTAATAAACAAATCAGGTATAAGTAAAGATAATCAAAAGAAATATACAATATAATTCGTTTATATATCGGTTATACACGATTCATATACAATACGACCTTAATATAACATGATTCGTTAGACAAAAATTAATAAATGAATCGGATATAAGTGGAGTGCTTCTTAACACGAACTTATTTTACCCGACTCAATTGACGTGTCTAGTCTTAATGACCATAGCAATATGAAACTCAAACCAATTGTTTAAGATGTAAATTGAAAAAGAGAATAATTTAGGGAGCAATGCAAAATGGGGGGTGTTCTAAACTTGTAGATACAATGTAAATTTTTGAATGCACCCAATTATGTGATTATATCTCTCACACTTGCTTACACCTAACATTTGAGAAAACCTAACATATGAGACTTCGTACAAGTCAAATAAGGTCCACATCACGAGCCTAACCCGGGTTGCTTGTAGTGACCTCTAAAAAAAAAGGCTTGTTCTAATTCCTTCGACGACTAAAAAATTATTTATAAGCGTACATTATTTCTTTATCCTATGGTCAACTTATCAGGCGGTCATTTGTTTTAGTGCTGAAACTAATTTTATCTTTATAATTCTTTGTCATAGGTTTTTGCCCACGAAGAGGAATATGAAATCATGGAAATTAGACAAGGAAATCAAGAAATCTTTAATGCAGGTCATAGAGCAGAGGAGAGAGAATTGGAGAAACGAAATCCTGGAAAATGGTCCGAAGGATTTGCTAGGACTCATGATCCAAGCAAGCACGAAGGAATCCTTCAAGAGGACGGAAATCAATTCCTCTCCCAAATCAATTATCACAGTGAATGACATTGCTGAAGAGTGCAAGAGCTTCTTCTTTGCTGGCGAACAAACGACGTCGAATTTGCTGACGTGGACCACCGTCCTGCTAGCTATGCACCCAGAGTGGCAGTCTTTGGCACGTGACGAGGTGCTCATGGTGTGCGGATCACGTGACGTACCCACCAAAGACGACGTCGTCAAGCTTAAGACGGTAAGGCCCACCCACCACATGTTCCGTCTTCTACCATGAGATGGATTTGCCGAAATTACCATAATATACCCTTCTTTTAATATCTTGTTGCTGTATCTGAAAACGTAAAATACACCAAATGATATTTGAATTATAAATTTAATCTCACTTTAATTTCTCAATTTTACTTATATACACAGTTCTTCTANCTGTATCTGAAAACGTAAAATACACCAAATGATATTTGAATTATAAATTTAATCTCAATTTAATTTCTCAATTTTACTTATATACAGAGTTCTTCTTAAAAAAAAATGGTATTTTGTTAATTTCTTGTAAAAAATTGTTAATTAAAATGACAACATAAGGGATTGTAGGGCTATAACTAAAAGTTAAGGGACCAAAATGCAATAAGACATAAATAAAAGGACCATCAATATATTTTCTTTTTATGAAGGCGAAAAGAGAAAATTAATATTAAACCATGCCGTTTGTTTGTTAGGGTAGGGATAAGTTAGTCATTTTCGAAGTCTAAGCGTTTGTGGGTTGTTTTGATGTGCAGCTGAGCATGATTCTCAATGAGTCCTTGCGACTTTACCCTCCGATCGTTGCGACGATCAGACGGGCAAAAGCCGATGTGGAGCTTGGGGAATATAAGATCCCTCGTGGGACCGAACTTTTAATACCGATCTTGGCCGTTCATCATGATCAGGCAATATGGGGGACTGATGCTAATGTGTTCAACCCGGCCCGATTTTCCGAAGGGGTGGCCCGCGCAGCAAAGCATCCTGTGGCGTTCATTCCCTTCGGCCTTGGGGTCCGCCAATGCATTGGCCAAAATCTAGCAACCCTACAAGCAAAATTAACACTTGCCATCATACTACAACGATTCTCTCTCCGCTTGGCCCCACGATATCAGCACGCACCAACGGTGTTGATGCTTCTCTACCCACAATATGGTGCACCAATCATCTTTCGACATCTGCCTGATCCTGAGATTTCTCAAGATCAAGGGTACTAAATTGCTGCCATCCTTGACATATATATCCTTTGTGTGTGAGTGCATATAGCATATATGCTGCAAATGACCAAAGTACCCATTGTTGCAGTCATAAATTATAGGAACTAGGACATATTTTGCCATATTCCTTCTTATCATTCTGAAAAAAAAAAAAAAAAAACCTAAGAGCTTGACTGATTCCTAATTTTCCATGCCTTGTCTTTGTGTCTGGATTTGGGGCATGTAACCTTATGTTAGTTTTAGGATTTAGTTAGCGACTAATCTCTCTGTTGTATGTAATATATATGTGCACAATATCTAACACAGTTTTGTAATATTATACGTTCATGGTGGTGAAAAATGACGGGTTGTCTTAGATGTTCGAGTATTATTGACTCTCTTTCTCTCTCTCTAATATATGTTTGGCCTACTGAAAGGTCCGTAAACCTTTTAAAATACTTGACTAATTGTTTCCGGTAATTTTGAGAATAAAAAGGAAGTTCAAACTATAAAACAAAAGCATAAGGATATTATTTGGAAAAAAAACAATAGTTTGAGTGCCTTAAACAAAGAATTATTAGAAACAATATTTATCTCAAAAAGCATCATGAAATCATGCAAAATAATAGTCTATCACTTGTATTCAACTGTAACATGAGCCANAAGAATTATTAGAAACAATATTTATCTCAAAAAGCATCATGAAATCATGCAAAATAACGATAGTCTATCACTTGTATTCAACTGTAACGTGAGCCNAGTTGTGGCTGTACTTTTGTGTTGTTGTTTCTCTAGCTTGGGGGTCTACTACTTTTAACATTCATGACTTTTGAAAGGCTTGTGCTTCAGTTTGTGTACTTCCTTTAAAAGCTTTTTAGGCCTTTTCTCAGCTTGGAATTGGATGCCTAATAGTGAACTTCAGAGTTCAGACTTCTCCACTCTCTTTTCACTTCCTCTTCTTTTTCTTCTTACACTCTCACTCCCATCTTTTTTTTTTGGGACGGAAGGAGAGGAGAAGGGGATAAGGTTGGAACCCGCACCCACCTGCTGGTGGGAGTGAGCCCTTATGTCCTTGTGTTTCCTTGTGTCCTTATGGTTGTTTTAGATTTTTATGGGAGCTTGAATTTTGATAATGCAGTTTATATGTGTTTGGTTTTGGAAGCAATCTAGTTTTTGAGTTGTCTTCTTCCCAGCTTCTTTTGTTTTGCTCTCTCTCTCTCTCTCCACTGTAGGGTCTACACTATTCATGATCTCTGAATTAGTGGCTGTCTTGTTTTCTGCTGGTTCCTCTTTAAGGTATTACCTCCTTGGTGTAAACCTTCTCTTTCACTTATCATCTGTTTTTAGCACTTAAATCACTTTTCTCAATCTTTTTCTCAATTTCACTACATTACTTGAATGTGGAAACATTATGCTTAATCTTCATCATAGGTGCAACATTTCTGGTGTGGTTCGGGCCGACAGTTCGCCTCACCGTCGCCGATCCCGACCTTATTCGAGAAATCTTCACTTCAAAGTCTGAATTTTATGAGAAGTATGAGGCTCATCCACTTATCAAACAGCTTGAAGGCGATGGACTTCTAAGCCTCAAAGGTGAAAAATGGGCTCACCACAGAAAAATCATCACCCCTACCTTTCATGTGGAAAATCTAAAAGTAAGTTCATCCCCCAACTCCAAAAAAAAATCTCGTACATTGAGCTACCTTTTTTATTTATTTATAATGTATTTTCAGTTAAAGTTTTTACCTTTTTTTACGGCTATATTTTTTACTGTAATTTTTTTAGTTACTAATGCCGGTGGCTGCACGAAGTGTGATTGAGATGCTGGAGAAATGGTCGGCTATGTCAGATTCCGGCGAGGTAGAAATTGAAGTCTGCGAATGGTTCCAAAATTTGACAGAAGATATTGTTAACCGAACAACCTTTGGCCGCAGTTATGAAGAAGGAAAAGCAATTTTCCGGCTACAAGCTCAACAAATGGTGCTAGCTTCCGAAGCCTTCCAAAAAGTTTTCATCCCTGGTTATAGGTATAATTAAGGTTTTAGTGTTTTTTTTTCAAAAAAAAAAAAAACAATTATAGACTCCCTAAACTATGCTTCTTATGTTATATTTGCCCCCTAAAAACTATATGTTTTCTCACATTGCATCTTAAACAACTGATTTGAGATTCAAATTGCCTTAATCGTTAACTTATGTCCAACTTTTAATAGGAAATCAGTGCAAAAATGAAATTCCATAATTGTAGAAGTTGTGGTCTTAACTACGAGTATCAAAATGTGGTACGATTCGTTAGTGTGATATACAATTAGCAAGTTTGTATATTTCTTAAGCCATTTTTTTTGTAAATAAGGGGACCCGATCCGACACGATTAATAAACAAATCAGGTATAAGTAAAGATAATCAAAAGAAATATACAATATAATTCGTTTATATATCGGTTATACACGATTCATATACAATACGACCTTAATATAACATGATTCGTTAGANTAAAAAAAAAAAAAGAGGAAGATTAATTTAATGCAAGGTAAATGATTTAGATTTATGCTTGAGATTTGTATCTCCACACTATACCTTATGTTAATTTCTTTCAATAGTAAATTACCAATATTATATTGGTGAAAGAATCCCCTTATATATGTGGGTCCCACTTAAATCTGTGATGGATAATTTATTTTTAAATAAAATTAAGACAAAATATATTAGAGTGAATCGGGATGTTTGTAAAAGAATCATCTCTAATAAAAATGGGTTATTAGTCTAATCCCAAATGTCTCCCATTGTTGCATTAATACCATAGAAATTGAGCTGGCTCATGTCTGGTCCTTGATTAATAGAACCTGTCTGGCTGTTAGAAAGCAAGGAGCAAAGACTGTTTTGGGTGATTGACAGCTTCCCCATGACCATGACATTCTTTATAGTTCTTATGTCTGAGTTAAATTAGTTGATTACCGGTAATCTCACCTTCCAAATCATTGCTTAAGTCAGTAAGAGTCCTTGGTTGTCCAGGCTCTTTGCTAGATGGTTCAAGGCACATATCACTGTGAGTGTTTATATAAAGAGTCTGAAACATATAATCGTATCTTCGTATCTAAAGAGATTATTTTCATTACTCAAAGTCAAATTACAATGAAGAGGAACAAATGTCACAACAACAACAAATATTATCTCATGATAAAATTAAAATTCTAAGTTTTTGACGGCTGAGATTAGTATCTTGATGGTNAAAAAAAAAAAAAAAAACCTAAGAGCTTGACTGATTCCTAATTTTCCATGCCTTGTCTTTGTGTCTGGATTTGGGGCATGTAACCTTATGTTAGTTTTAGGATTTAGTTAGCGACTAATCTCTCTGTTGTATGTAATATATATGTGCACAATATCTAACACAGTTTTGTAATATTATACGTTCATGGTGGTGAAAAATGACGGGTTGTCTTAGATGTTCGAGTATTATTGACTCTCTTTCTCTCTCTCTAATATATGTTTGGCCTACTGAAAGGTCCGTAAACCTTTTAAAATACTTGACTAATTGTTTCCGGTAATTTTGAGAATAAAAAGGAAGTTCAAACTATAAAACAAAAGCATAAGGATATTATTTGGAAAAAAACAATAGTTTGAGTGCCTTAAACAAAGAATTATTAGAAACAATATTTATCTCAAAAAGCATCATGAAATCATGCAAAATAATAGTCTATCACTTGTATTCAACTGTAACATGAGCCAAAAAATCATTTTTGCTAAAGCTTGTTATAAACTTCCTTCATTTAAAAAACTTGTATTCTTTGAGTACATTTGCAAACTATTGTTAATAAATTATACTTTATATCCTTAAATTATCACTCTCTGGCAACTCAATTCTAAAATTGTCATTAAATTAGAATTTGCGATGCCCAAGAAAACCTATAGCCAAGTGCCCTCCAGTGCCTCTTTTTTAATTTTTCGAAAAGTTGGGGTGGCCTTCACTAAGAACAATGTGCACCCAATACAATTTTCCTTTGTGTTACTACAAGATTAAAAGCAAAGAACAAATGCATTGCCCAATACAGTGAATAATGTTCTTTTTAAAGCAAAGCTTACTGTAACCTAGCATGCAAATACACTTTTTATACACATTCTTCTTTATGGGGTTTAGGACTTTGGGTTAAAAAATTAATGGAGTAAGAAGATAGATTGAGAGAGACCCAACCTTCTTTTTGTTTTGCTTTTTGGGATCTTCTCATGCTCTTCTGGTCCCCATGACCATGAGTCATGTGGCTAGGGAGATCTCTCTTTTCTCTTCTATTTTGGTGTTTTTTTGTTTTTTTTTCACTTTTGTTTAAGGAATCAAAGCATGCTTTGAAGCATGTGATTTCTTCCATAATTACTTTTTTAAGTATTAATTTTCAATTCCTTAAACACCTCTTTTGCTTCTAACATGCCCCCATACTCGGATACACCGTGGCATATTAATGACGATTCATTTTTATTCCTTCTTATCACGGTGTTAATCTCGAATTATGTGCTACAAGAAATAGAATTACATCAACCTACACCAGGACTATTATTATTATTTCCAGGTATTTATGATACTCCAATACATTGTTTCCCTACTATTCAATGATTAAACTATGCCGTATGAGAATCGCATTCACCTCCATGATCATTGTTATTGTTGTCGCCCTTTTAATTGTTATTAGGGGTGTTCATGGGTTGGATTGTCCATGAGTTCTATTACTTGGCTCGATAAAATTAGATTTAAAATTCGATAAACTCGATAATTGGCACACCCAAACTCGAGTCTAATATCTTTCAAAAGAGGTCTCAAACTTACCCCCAAATTCATTACTCGTCTTAAAACCCGGTCCAATAGCCTATTCGCAAAAAATATGTTAAAACCCAACTCAAGAACCCGCCCATCTAGTCCAATCCATGGGCCCGCCTGCCCACCCAGCCCAATCAAATCATGGAAACAAGTCTTTCAATACCGAAATTCGAAGTTTTAGAAATTTAAGTATTATAAATAATGTATTTTTTTCTTTTTTTCCATGTATTAAATAGATGTTTTAAATGATAGAGTTGTGGAAATGATAGATAGGTGGGTAGGTGTTAACTTAAATGGGATGTGCTCATTCTATTATTTTGCAATTCCTCCCTATTTATAAATAAAATTATTCATTATTTATTTTTTGTCCATTTTAACTCTACTTTTAATTCAAAAATGTAATTTATAAAAATATTAAGTAACAAAAATATTTATTATTTTTAAATAAAATTGTATATAAAAAACCCGTTCAATAGACCCGTTTGCAGGTCCTTTAAACAGGCCCATAGACCGCACAAATAGGCCCACCCAATTAATAACAGGTTGGGTTGTGGATAATTTATCCCTACCCAAAACTCGATCTGATCTACTTGATTACTCACTCGGGCAAAGACTCAGTCCTAGCTTATCATTATTAAGGGACTAGCTTGCAAACCGTTTATTTCAGATAGATCATGCTTTAAACCAATTTGTACGAGGGTCCACTTGCGTGTTCAGACTAGTTAATCATTTTTTCCAAAGCGATTACAAACAGAATTAATCAATTGTACGATTCTCAATCAAGGGAAATACTATTATGGTAAAAAATTCAAAAATGTAGTAAGTTTTTATTCAAAAAAAAAAAAGGTAAGTGAACCATAAAAGTGTTGCATCCCAAAAGTTAGTAAGCTCGCCTAATATTTTTTGGACCTCAAATTTTTTTTTTTTAAATTTAGATTTACTTAACTTTAAATTACTTTTAAAAAAATTAGATTCAAGTTTAATTAAATCTAGATTTATTTTTAAGGTCCCAAATAAGATCAATCTTCAATCAAATCAAAATTTATTTTTCAGGCCCCTAAAATTTTTTTATAGACGCAGGTTCAATGAAATCAAATTTTACTTTTGTGAGTTTTATAATAGTATTAGATTCATTATATTAATTATAATACTATTCATGTCTTGGAATATACCATGTATAATAAAATTACATAATTATTTCTTTCGTATATTGTTTTCAAATTTTTTTATCAACGTAAAAACTATGTAATTTGGTTTTTTTTTTTAGAATTTGAAAGTCTTTTGATAAGTTAAATATATTATCATAATAATTATAAATAACGAGACTTCGTCTAAAGATTTCACCTAAAGCCTCCATTTGGCAAGAGCCGACCCTGTTGGGAGGGATTACTTTTCGTAAGTGCTGATTTTAGGACTTGATTGCAAGTAACAAGTTAGCCCCGAACCAATAAAAATACCCCCAAAAAAATGATATCTTAGTATTTCATTGTTAATAGTAGAGCTTCTGCAACTTTGTGCTTTAGCCTAACCACGCTTCTAGATAACATCTAGGCATTGTCTCGCGACATTGCTAGAAGACAAACTCAATACTCTAAGAATTTGTTTGGATGAATTTTAGGGAGGAGTTTAGATTGATTTCTCCAAATCCTTCCAAACTTAAATTTTTTTTTACAAAAATGAGATTCAACATTCAATCTGGATTATACCCCATGTTTGGTATGTAAAATATATACATGTAAGACCCACAAATATATCATAATTATTAACAATTATTTGTCCTATAAATGACTATTTTACCCTTTATCAATCAAATTCATATCATGTTAAGGGGTACAATTATCTTTTATATCCTTAACCCTTTGACTCATCTTCCCAAACCCACCCCTCTTTAGGTTTCATCAAATCCATGATCATGGGTTTAATCTTTAGGCAAGTTACGGGCTGAATTTAGGAACTAATGATTAAATTTTCAATCCAAACATGAGATTTAGAAATTGTCTAGACTGTTATCCCTAAACTCATCTTCCCAAACTCTCTCATACCCTCCTACCAAATAACCCCTTGGTGGAACCCTTTTTAGGGGTATGTCGTTATAGAGGAAAACCATTTTGTTCATTTCTACCCATAGACTTTAAAGCATCCACACGTGATGAGAACATGTTTATGGTTTAATTAAATTCATGGTGTGTATTTGTGCCAAATCACACCAATAGCGATGACAAATACTCATCCCTC